TGAACCTTTCTATCTTCACGAGTACTTTTCCAGAGGATCTGAAAATTAGCAACAGTGACTTCACTTTATAAAAAGAAAGATAAAACTGATGTTAGCAATTATATATCTATTAGTGTTTTAAGAGTAGCATAAACAATTATAGAAAAATCGGTCTGTGTTCAAATTGAAAAATACCTTAAAGAAAATGATATAATTTATGAATTACAATCTGGTTTTCGACATGATTATTCGACTGAAACATGTCTAATTCATTTGACTGATTATTTGAGGACACAAACTTCCCACGGGCGCTTTGTTGGTTTGGTGCTCCTTGATCTGCAAATAGCTTTTGATACAGTTAATCATGGCGTCTCATTGAAAAAGTTACAAATAATGGGTTTTAACAAGGATTAGTTCAGATCTTACTTGTCTATGATCGACACAAGTAGTGGTCATTCATGATATTCGTTCCAAACTTATGTATATAACATGCGGTGTTCCTCAGGTAAGCATAATAGACCCAATTTGATTTACAAGTTATATCAATGATATGTGTATTTGTATAAAAGACTTTAAACTATTATTGTACGCAGTTGACAGCGTACTACTCTATTCAAATCCGAATCCAAAATATCTTGAGGATAAGTTCAGTGAACAGCTGTCTATGTGTTTCGATTGAATGACCGATAATAAGCTTTCTTTACATGCACTTGAGGAGAAACAGAAAGTATTTTGTTTTGTTCTTAAAGCAGTTCTAAAACGTCATTTGAATTCAAAGTGACACTCAATATTCAAGTAATCAAGAGAAAGTAATATGTGAAGTAGTTAGGCATTGAGTTTGCTAGCGCAATTTTATTTTCATCTAATTAGTAGAATCATTTGTAAAAAAAGAGCAAATTCTCGTCTGAAATGTGTGCAGAGATATCAAAGTTGTACGGATTTAAAAGCAAGACGTATACTCTGTTTTGCTCCTTTTTGATGTTTGTTCGGTAGAAAGATAAAGAAGAATAATATATGGAAATATACAGACAAAATATATTTGAGATATTACATAGTAAAGAAAAAGGCAAAATAAGAATGGAAGGAACGAGAGAGGAATATAGAGTGGGACGGAGGAAAGAGTAAAGATACAGGGATCGAGGGGGGGGGGTGTAGGCGTGAAGGAAATGGTCTAGGAACGTAGCTGTACTTTACTATTGTATTACGAGCTTTCGGTTTGTGAGGCCTTCTTCAGGTTCTGAAGTGCAAACACATACAAAAACAAATACATTGTATGAACAAATATACATGGCATACATGGCATACAAACTTAATATCACTCAATCATAGACCATTTTCTTCACGCCTACATATTATGGAACACCCGTTGTTCTGTCAGAGTTTAGAATTCTCGCACTTTTATATATATATACATATACCCTGTATTACAAGGATGTAGAGAGAAGGGACGCGGATGGAGAGAAAGAAAGAAATATATGGGGAGGTTAGACAGGTTTATCTTTATAAACATTTTTTTTTTAAATTATACCGGATAATTATGTATACTTTCTATTTCACAACTTTAAACCATGTCAAATGTATTATATCTTTGAATGTTGAATTGTATTTCTGATTTCTTGTCATAATTACTGTTCTGTTGGAAATGAAAAATTAAACTGAAACTGAAACTGAAACAGAAACTGGCAGAGGGAGATGGAGGAAGAGAGGAAAAACAGTAGAGCGCATGAGCGTCAATCCTTACGTAATACCTATTGTTCAGGGGGATGAATGAATAGATCATCCCCCCTGAACAATAGGTATCAATTACAGATTTATGCCCATGGTAGAGAGAGAGAGAGAGGGGAAAAAGAGAAAGAGAGAGAGAGAGAGAGAGAAAGAGGTATCAAGTTGCGTAGTGATCAGAAACTTCGCTTTCTTCTTCTTTTCCTTCTTCTCTTTCATATCATCACCATAATCAATTATTTATCATTATTGCAATGACGACCTTCGTCATTGCCTTGTTTTCGTTCACTTTCTTCTCATTAATTACAATGACGAATATCGTCATTGCCTTGTTTTCGTTCACATTCTGCACCATTAATATTCTTCGTGTTTTCCTCGTCAGGAAATTGCATTCGTTTTGCACGTAGTGTTTGTTATTCCTAGTTAGGTGCTTTTCTCATGTCCATTTTCGTTCAAATTTCATAGGCATAGTCTCTAGCATCTCTTCAAGGTCACCTATTTTTTAGATTTTTGAAATCACTCATGCATAACCATCCTGGCGCCATTTTGTCCGTTTCTGGTCCATTTTTAGGCCTTTCTTTCTTCCTTCCTATCTTCACTATCCTAGATCCTACAAACTTCTAACAAATTCCTTTAGATAGTCTGAGAAATGTTCTTTCATCTGCAACGTATAAGCTGACCTTCAAAATGCCATCTTCGTACTCAAAATTCAAATCCAAAACCGACTCCGTCAAAAATCTTTAAAATTCTTGAAAAGTGGACCCCAACAAATCTAAAACTGCCATAACTTTTTCATATAAATTTCGTTTTGTATTTAAATCTTACAGTATCTTTATCTCATATTTGCACATAGCCATGCCAAATTTCACGCTCCAATGGCTATGCACAAAATAAATAGCGCCCTCTAAATTTCTGGGAATTGGCTTTCTTTCTGTGGCCGTATCTCCATTATGGCTTGGCAGACCCGTACCTTTTTTTGGATTTAGATACCCGAAGATATCCCCTTTCAAGCCATATACGAAATTATATACCCTATCTTTGACCAAATTTGAGAAAATTGCTCTCCAAATTCGCCATTTTCAAGAAAATTGCGAAATAACTTCAACTTGCTCTAAAATTACGATCCGTAGACCTACAACAATGAAACTTTGCAGACATATGTATCTATATACGTGACAACGGTCTGCCAAGTTTGGTAAATTTTAATGACGTCAGCACAAAGTTATCGCCAAAAATGATGAATTTACTGTGCATTACGTAATAGCGCGTCTAATGCGTGCAGTACATTGCGCGCAGATGACAATGGTGTCAAACTGACCGCAATGAAGTGCCCTTTTGGATGATACCAAGTATGATATATGTTCACACACAAAATTGTGAGTTAATCGCATTTTAAACACCATATTATACTGTTTATAATGATGTTAGTATAGACGACCGTTAGTGCCAGATCGCCCGTCATTGCACGCATATCGTTGTGCCACGATTGCAGGTCTAGTATTCTCTTACTTCTTCTTCTTGTCTTCCGGAGTCCCATTCGTTTTGCACGTAGTGCTTGTTATTCCTATCTAGGTCCTTTTCTCTTGCTCGATTCATTTCAAACTTCATAGGCACAGTCTCTAACATCTCATCAAAGTCACTACGTTCTTCGATTCTCGAAATCACTCATGCGTAAACGTCCAGGCGCCATTTTGTCCGTTTCTGGTCCATTTTAAGGCCTTTCTATCTTCCTTCCTATCTCCACTATCCTAGATCCTACAAACTTCTAACAAATTCCTCTAGATAGTCTGAGAGATGTTTTTTTCATCTGCGACGATAACCTGCCCTTCAAATCGCCATCTTCATACTCAAAATTTAAATCTAAAACCGACTCCGTCAAAAATCCCTCAAATTCTTTAAAAATTGACCCCTAAATAATCTAAAACTGCCATAAGTTTCTCATATAAATTCCGTTTTGTATTTAAATCTCACAGTATCTATATCTTATAATTGCACGTAGCCATGACAAATTTCACGCTCCAATGGTTTTGCACAACATAACTAGCGCCCTCTAAAGTTCTGGGAATTGGCTTTATTTCTGTGGCCGTATCTCCATAATGGCTTGACAAACCTGTACCCTTTTTTGGATTTAGATACTTGAAGATATGCCCTTTCCAGCCATATACAAAATTATATACCCTATCACTGACCAAATTTGAGAAAATTGCCGTCCAAATTCGCCATTTTCAAGAAAATTCCAAAATAATTTCAACTTGCTCTAAAATGACGATCTTTATACCTACATCAATGAAACTTAAAAGAAACAAGTATCCATATACGTAACAACTGTTTGCTAAGTTTGGTAAAATTTAAATATGTCAGCGCAAAGTTATCGCCAAAAATGATGAATTTACTATGCATTACGTAATATACGCAGATGACAATGGTGTCGAACTGACCGCAATGAAGTGCCCTTTCGAATGATACCAAGTATGGTATATGTTCACACAGAAAATTGTGAGTAAATCGCATTTGAACAACGGTCACTATACAAATTCCGGTCATAATACAGATCCTGTACGTTTTCCGCCCATGCATTACACGCATTGTCTATGGGGAAATCGGGTTCACGCTTTTGGACCCAGAACGATCTTTATTTTTCTTGAAATTTTATAGGCACATTCTAAGTGGCCAAGTGCAGAGCATCTCGAGGCCGAATTTTTAAAATCGTTCAAGCATGACATTAAATGCTATTTCATACTCTGCGTATTTACTAGTCCGAAAGATGTTCTTTCGTTTGACACGTAAAAACAATGCATCGTCATTGCACGCACATCGTTCTGACACGATTGCATTTCTAGTTATGTATTATTATCATTATTACTTAGTTTCAGATTACTATATATCACATTCACATTCAATTATCATGAACATTAAACAATAATGAAAACTTATTCTTTCAATAGGTATTAAAAATACATCCAATTATATCAAGCAATGAAAGTAATGAAAGAGTCAAAATAACAAACAGAGACATACATATATAATCGCATGGTATTTAAACTGAAATTATATAAAAATGTGTCCAGTGGAATTTGAGGGAATCCAGCGCACCGCCCCCCCCCCCCCTCCCACAGGATTCGTCGAATATTAATTAATAACGCGGCGTCCCATACTTGGGAAATGCATTGACGTAATCAACTAATAAAGTCATATGTAAACAAACGATATGTCATCATTATTTATAAAGTACTCTCAAAGTTTTAGACACAGACACAGTACAAACACAGCACATACTGTTGTTATCAGACAGACAAAGACTTGTTATCGCCTAGTGACGTGTCCATTGTGACATTTTATAATACAATATCATTACTCAAGTCCTGCCATTCTTCTAAAAGGAAACGACAGATAAAAACAAATTTCTTCTTCTTCTTCGTCCTTGCTGGTTAAACTTGTGCGTACGTCGTTAGGGTAGGTATAATCATGGATATATTACGGATGGACATTCGACTTGATTCTTTCTTTGATCCAACGAGATCCTCCGCCTTCTGATTATGTGCATCTTAGTGAGAACATTCAGCTGTTTTAACAATAACGACTGCGTCATTGACAAAGGAGCAGTTTCCCTCTCTTGAGTTTTGTTTGGAGGGTGTGCTCTGTAAGAGTGTGTCTTAAATAATAAAATTACCAATGGGGAGCAGCAAAGTGGAAAAGCAGACGATTTTGGTGATATAGAATTTATTATTACTTATTCGCACACTTTCGCACGCACCAATGACCTTAACAAATAATTAGAAAGCCATCATCTTTATGAGCCCTGTGCGTTGTAATTCTGGGCTATTATGAGAAAATTGGGGAAAACGGGATTTTAAATCACAAACAATCCAAATTTAACCTATCTGGTAATATCAACATGTGTTTTAAAAATATATCATAGTACACGGAACAACAATTTCCGATTATTAACCACAACTGCACATTGATTTCCCATAATTTAAGCGATTTATTATCTACTGCGCATGCATAATAACATGTCTAAAATCACTATCTTAATTCTGTCCCGGCTTATTAGTGGCGGACCTCATGAGAACAAAGTGAAGAAACATGTATGGAATGTTATTAAAACGACATTGACGGAGAAAATCACATTGAATTCGTTAACAAAACGACAAATGTCCATTCGAATTAGGTCAATGGTATAATAATGTGCATTCTTTTTTACAGGTGCTTTTTGTATTGTTTTGTGTGTGTACATGACTACTGCAATGTTTTTTTTTTTTGCTCAACATGGGGGAGGGGGAAGTAGAGGGGGTAGTGAGTTACTCAACACCCCCCCCCCCCCTTGAGCAGAACAAAAAAGAAAAAGGTACATTTTTGTGGGTACCACATTTCTTTCAAACTTTTTTGGTGCCAGGGGTGGGGCCATTTTTGCCAGGGGGTGGTCCCGTCGGGCACCCCCCCCCCTGCCTTTGACCTACTTACTTCAAAGCCGAAATTAGGCTGTGTTTTGATACCATGTACCTTCATATCAAATTTCATTAACATCATCTAATATTGAACGGAAACCAGATTTGTCACGGACGGACGGCAGCATTTATTTCCTGGGCGAGGGGATAATTAAAGGAATCAGAGGAGAGATGCGAATGACATTGATATAGCCTGAATACAGAATACTTTTCTCTTCTCTGCCAGATTTATACTTTTTAATTTTGTATATACTTATGTTTTCGTACGTTTTAGAAATTCAAAATATTCATCATTATTTCCTCTTCTTCCTCCTTCTTCTCCTCCTCTTTCTTCTTCTCCTTCTTCATCTTCTTCTTTTTCTTTCTTTTTTTTATCTTCCTACGCTTCTTGTACTAATCATTTATATCATTATTATTTTAATGTCATTATTATTACTATCATCATTATTATCTTTAATAAGTTTTTTCTTAAATTTCTGTAGATAATACGACTTTAACTTAATAATTTTGTCGGGGACCCTACTGGAAATAAGCTCTGACTCGAGCTTTCGTGTGTTATCCTGTTCAAGCTGTCTTAATTCTATCTGTTTTTCTTTTATATTGCTGTATGTTGGAAACTTGGTGAATAAAATCAATCAATCAATCAATCGTCATCTAGTACGGAATTTAGGCGTTGGCCTTTGATTCCCGGTCACTGTATACGTCTGGCATTGCATTGTCACATGAGAAAGATAGTACATGTCTTTAGTGTGCTTACGGGAGGAGTCGGGGAAGGTCACTTTGCTTGTTCCACCTTTTTTAAAAGCCTTTTGAAAGATTCAGTTGTTTTTCGTTTGCTCTATATTTTCAGGCAGGTTGCTTTTGGCTGTTCACACTTATCCAATGTTCGAGCCTACAAGGATATATAAGGATGGCTTTGAGACAAGTCCAGACTGTCCAGTACATATAATTACCAACCGTATAGTAATTAATTATTGGACTCCATGGAAGAACAGAGCCATTAGGTTAATGGCTCTGAAATGGACTATCCAACCGTTTTATCATTCTATCATTGTTATATAAATCTTTGATTTTGTTATATTGTGTTATTGTTTTTTATGATGATTTTCGGAAATAAAACAAACAAGTTATTCTACAATTTAAATCAATTTATGATTGGCAGGAACGGCAGGAACCATTTACATGCAAATCCATGGAAACTTTTTTTTTCTATTTGTTTTTAGCTTGATTAAAATCCATCATGATTGACCTGCTTGGAGCTGGAGAGTCTGGCTTTGGTCAGTTTAATGCCCTGACCATCACAGCAACCCTTGGAATGGTCACTGCTACGCTGGCCCTCTGGACCATCGTGAGGCCAAAGCGATTTCCTCCTGGTCCAAGAGGCCTGCCTATCGTTGGCAGCATCTACAGTAAGTCAAATGTAGATCCTAATTTACCAGGCACCAACTTATAGTGATATGCAACACAATGGAAGAAAAATACTCAGAGTGGATCGAGTGCCATTCAGCTCCACAAACTTCAACTCCAAAAGAGCACTTTTGAAAGAAGAAAAAGGAAAACAGTGAAATACAAAGTCGTGCAAATGTCTGTGAAGAATCTTATTAGAAGTTATGATAATATAGGGTGGCCTATACGGCTAAGGCACGGCGGGTCTATACTTGCAGAGAACAACAAACACATCTTCACTCCATACATGCTTGCAACCTTACTTGCATTTATCTACATGGATTTACATGTACATCGTATAACAACTGTAACTAATAAACATTCAAATAACAGAGATGGTAAATAGAAGGAGGTACATGAATATCCATAGATTTCCGTGCATATCAATGAGTTGCTATGAATATTCAATATAGCTTAACCAATCGTATACTATAAAGAACAAAAACCAAAGGATGAACATGAAAGGATAAACATGAAAGGAATAATAAAAGAGACTAAAGTTGGAGAGAGTGAACATAGCACGAGAGCCTGTAGAGGGAATGGTGACGATGATTAAATGTGATGGAAAGAGCAAAATAGAGTTTGATGATAGCAGAATGCAAATAGACATATGGGAAGATAGGATGCTTTCATACATGCTACGGTACAATGTCCTGTTCAAAATCTAGCTCTACAATACCAAATCCAAAAAACAGCTCCTTTTCACAAGAAAGTATTCAAAAACATTTTACGATAGTTTGGTACTAGATTTTCTCATTGACATGGAACTCTAGATCTACATGCATGTATCTCCCGGCCCCCCCCCCCCCCCACTCAGTGTTATTTAGGGTACGCATATGCTCGTTCCCTCTTTTTGAAAGCACCCCCTATCTGAGGACTGCCAACATTTCCGAACCCCCCTATCGCGGGCTTTTCGCGGGCTTTTCCTGCCTTGGAGACCCCCCTAAATCAGGAAAAATGCTCAATGTACCCCCCTAAATTCGGAATAATTTCTCAGGAGTCCAAAGAGATGAGAGGAAAATAGAAAAACACCCTTTTTAAAGAAATCTCCGGGTGAAAGTCAAATACCCCCTTTTTTAACATTTCTCGGGCCGGACTTTGTCGCATGAAAAGTACCCCTTTACCGGACATTTTGGCAACACGCATGCGGTCATTTCGAAACCTGAGTGGGGGGGGGGGCCGGGATGTATCTAGACTAAGTTTTGTGATTTCTAATTATTTTGGCTGTTATTGTAATTGCTTGATGTTTTATCACACGGCTTCTCCTCTTGAAATCTCATCTTGATACATCTTACTTTTAGTTAAATCTTTCATGTTTATTATGCTCCTTTGGTTTTTAGGTATAAATGATTCTCCTGAGGTTGTCTTTGGGGAATGGGCCAAGAAGTACGGTGATATCTTTGGCTTCAAGGCGGGAGAGAGATGGATTGTAGTTCTCAACCGTCAAGCATTGATCAAGGAAGCCGTCCTCAAACAGAGCGTTGGCTTTGCTGACCGTCCAGATTTCCTCTCTCGTAAGTGGATAGGATTTAGTAATTAAATATCAACATGATATTTTATGCCATGACAGGGATAATAGTTACTGGATATCAACATAATATTTTTAATTATGATTGGGGTAATACTGTCGGAGCACCAGACGGTTACAGAATTGGTATGATATTAAGTAATATTTTATGCTATGACTGGGATAATTATAGTAATTAACATAATACGTTGATGCTATGACCGAGGTAGTAATGTTGGAGTGCCAGGACACATGGGTACTTATAATGTAAGGCTTTTTATAATTGTGCCATCCAACTCCACTACCTTTCAGCTTTTCTTGCCTTCTTTCCTTCGCTTCTTCAGCTATACTTATAACAATGTTGCTTTCCTTTTGTTGCATAATCATGTAATTTTTTGATATGTTTAGATACTGAAATTATATTTTCAACATCAGATAGAAGATGAAAGACCATAGAGGTTATATGAAGCAAAGATGTGCAGATTCAGAGAAAGACAAAGAAATACATGGGAGAGATAGAAAGTTAGAGAGAAGGAATTGACTTTTGAGGTGTTGGTGCATGCAGCAGTCACCATAGTTATACCTTTTTGTTAAATCCTTGTATTTTATTGTATTCTCTGGGCCACCAAGATATTAATGCTAGTCAAATTTGGTTGACCAAAAGGGCATACACAATGTCGGCCAGTGTCGATTGTCACAGAAGGGGTCAAAATGAATGTATGGAAAATGAATGTATGTAAACGTAAATTTATGTGCACTGCTGATATTGTGTTTTCGTGTATTTCAATTTTCAGTGGACATTTTCTCGGATGGATTCAAGGATATTGCTTTCAGCCCATACAGTGAGACCTGGAAACTTCATCGCAAGTTGGCTCACTCAGCTCTCAGGTAAAACTTAGATAATACACTCAGAGTTAAGCGACCACCTGTGTAGAAAGAATACATGTCTATAATTAATAATAGTAATAACTATAATAATATGTACCCAAGGTAACTTCATCAGTATTTAAGTAACTGTGCGAATAAATTTCACAAAATGGGCAAATTAAACATGTAAGGAAAGCCTATATCATTGAGAACACGAATCATTTGCTTTAAGGTTGGGTAAATATTAATTTAACACTTCAATAAGCATTTTCCAAGACCCTTCTCAGATTTTCAAATCCTGGCTTGAAAGCGAAATAATATACGGGTCCTGAATCATGACGTCACACGTGGGACAGGGAGCTGGGGCGCTCGCTCGGTGCACTAGCAAGAAGTAGACATACACAGAGTTTAGACGTACACGTTGCATAGTGAAAGTGGATAAAAATTTCTCGAATTTGGGTAATTAAACTTTAAAATTGCTTATTATGCCACATGTATATTAAATGTTAGCATTTCGATTATTCCAAATATCTTATTATTTATTTTTTGTTGTTGAGATGTCATCGCATGAATGGGGGAATTTCCAGTCAAGTGCTCAAACAACACGATGAGACACCTAGTTCTTTTCATTCTTCCTCGCTCCCAGGCATTTTGCAACAGGCAAGCCTCTTCAGGATCTCATCTCCAGCGTCTACCCCAAGGTTGAGAAGAAGTTGGCCATGACGGAGGGACAACCAATAGACCCTAAGGTCCTCATCACTCTACTCATGTACAACGTACTCGCACAGATGTGCTTTGGACGAAGGTGAGTTCTGCACAACGGTTTTGGAACTTGTGGTAAAGCAAGGGTTTTATTTAGAAGTTTTTAGTCAAAAGGCAAGCAATCCAATCTTAACATCAGCTTGTTATGAGTTGAGTTGGAAAGAAACTTTATATAGGCAATAAGAAAATAGATTTATTTTAATTAAATTTAATAATATTAATGCGACTGTGATGCAGGACAACTCTCTATTCTTTGTTATGCCTCCGCAACGAAGTAGCCGTAGCCATGTTTTCGGGTTGTCCGTCCGTCCCTTTCTCATGATCGCGTTATATCTCAAGAACCGATTGACAGGTCGATCCCCGCCAACTTTAAACTTGGGTCATGTACATTGTACGTATCTTGTAGAGCCAATGAACTGATTAGATTTTGGGGTCAAGAGGTCAAATGGATAATGTCATGGGGCTCATAATGTATGCAAAAATAGTTTGTAATAAAAATATTCTGAGAACCTGTTAATGAATTAGAATCAAACTGGAATTTTAAAATTTGCTTCTGTTTGGGTTTGTAACATCGCTCTATGACGGAGACATAATTTTCGACTGCGCGCAGTCGAAGATCCATCTAGCTTTATTTTGTTGTGTTTTTGTTGTAATGCCTATTAGAATACAATACATTTGTATCATTAAAAACACTAACCTTTTTAAAGAAAATCGAACTAGATCACAGCCATGATATATAATATTAGAATGTTCTCTATTCATTCCCGTTTCACAGGTACATGAGTTATTTAATACGTGTTTTAGCCACAGTTGCCCTACATTCAATACCCTACCCTACATATGAAGATTCTAGGCTTCTGATTGGTCAAAACTGCAGGCATGAAATACGCTACTGACTGCTAGCAGTATAGCGAAAAATATTGACCGGGCATCACTCTCCTTACGCGTACAATGAAAGGACGCAATGGATTAGCTTTTTAACTCCAATAATGAACAAACACGTTTAAACTTAGTAAAATTCTGTCGAAAATTAATGCTTGTTTTCATTAATTTAAGTATGTGCACAATGTTATGAGTTCAATATTAACTTTATGTTTCTCTTTTTTGTCTTATATAAAATTATTAAATTGATATCAAGACAATTTTTAGTAATTCATTAATTCAAATATCAATTTTCTCGTGCCAGTAACTTTCTTTTTCAATTGCTTCCATTCATTTTGTCATTTTGGTTGTAATTATTATTAACGTTTTTTAAAATAAATTATTACTATTGTTATTTGATATTGCTATTATTATTATTATTATCTTCAAAATTTTTCTCACTATTGTCGATAGTGTTATTTTTTTTATTGATTGGAAACGCCCCCTCTCAAAAATGAAATGGAAGCTCTTATTATTACCAATCATGTGAAAAAATATGTTTTGACTAATTCGTGATGATACAAATTTTGCCGGAGAACCGCCTATTAATTGATATATTTGGTAAATTATTATATCTATCCGGACCGGATCATCGCGCACGTGTCGCGTACATATAGCTCCGTTTAGTCTCATTTGACAACGCCCCCTATCGTCAGAGTCAGCAGCCCAACATGTTAGCCTATGGAATTATACAACTTCATTTTGTTTTGTTTAAAAGAAAAGCACATCCACCCCGACGTACGTTATCACAAACTCTTTCATTGGAACCCTCATGTCCCATAGACTTTTGAAAGTTCATCCCCCATAATTTGATCAAAATAGGTTGCAAGCTCGCCATTGCCTATATAACACATGTGAAACAAGTCGAACTTTGGACTCAGTTTGCCAAGCGATTGTAAGGTTATAGGTCAGGCACACGAAGGATAACAAGCATGAATTATCATAGATCAGTTCTGATCGGTTCATTATGTCCATTTCAGCCAACCCCCCACCGTAATTTTTCTATTGAAGATAAGCAAACATTTTGCCGAGGTAAGCAAAAACATGAATATTCATGATCGCCATGGACTATTCGATTATTTACAGAGGGGCGCAATTGTGCACCACATCAAACTCCCCTTCTTTAAGTCAAGTATTTCATTGCATTATGTAGTTTGGTAGGTTTATTTTAATAACTGTTTAATTATCAGATATTGATGATAGTTTAAAGATATAGAAAATGTTCTTGTATTTTATATTTAGAAAAGCAATCTCACATACAAATTCACTATACCAAGTGTCGTCTAATCCGCCGATTGTCGTCTGCTATGTACGTCCAGCGAGCGAAAATGGGACAACCGGAGCAATATGATCCCATATCCATCTTTCTGTGTATAGTGCTTGTATCTTTACCAAGACTGGGCCAAATTTCTTATCAGTTTGATGATTCCAGAACCTTGCAGTGCACACCAATACTTATATGCTAGATGATCAACCTTTTCTGAACGTTTCCACAAAGTTTCTTTCACAATGCAATCGCATGACCAAAACTGGTCTTTATCTAAGACCAGTTCTGGTCATGCGATTGCATTGTGAAAGAAACGATCAAAATGATAAGAAATTTGGCCCAGTCTTCGTAAAGTTACAAGCACTGTACACAAAAAGATGTATATGGGACTACGCACACGTAGGAATCATGTGCGTATTATCTCTTTGGTCCCAATAGATAAACTAATTTACCACATATATCTATTAGTAGGCGGTTTCCCGGCAAAAATGTTATCATCATGTATTAGTCAAAACATATTCTTTCACATGATTGATAATAAGAGCTTTCGTTTCATTTTTTGAGAGGGGGGGGGGGGGGGCGTTCCAAAACTGGTCTTTACCTTTAACATTAATTCGATTTGTATTGACAGTGTTAAATTGACAAATTCAAACTGATTGTAAACTTCTCCTATACCCCGCAATGTGGGTGACATAAGAATAAATTGTTATTGTCATGTCATTGCCCAGCGGCTTTAATCTACTTTAAGATTCAGTTGCAAGGCGAACCTTAATCCTGTGCATGTATCTTTCAAGAAATAACGCCTGGTGAAAATGCGTCCACTGCAAGTGTCTGGCAAAACCCTACAAGAAGGTACAATTACTTTTTTGTTTTTAACTGATTTTTCTTGATGTCATTATTGGATTGCAGTTATGAGTTGGAAGACCCTAATGTGGCGCAATGGATGAACACAAACGACGAAATCAATGAACATTTGGGATTAGGTCTAGCAGCAGACTTCTTCTCTTGGGCCAAGTACCTTCCCACCAACGGTCCATGGATGTTGAAGGAACTCCAAGAAAGGCTTTGGGGCTTCTTGCGTTTGCAGGTGGATGAAACGAGAGAACATTATGATCCGGGTGAGCTACTGAAATTTCGGTATTTGATTGGCTGAGAAGTCTTATGAAACAGTCTTAGTCCACCTTCATGAACATGACTGAGTCATTACAGCTAAATGTGTTGCATTTTCTATTCCTCTTCATAGAGAACATCAATAATGTCTACAGTCTACTTCTCAAAGCTCAAGAAGATGCAAGGAAAGAAGGAGAGAACGTGGACAAACTGACCGATACTCACATCTTCCAGACGATCGCTGATATCTTTACAGGTACATGTATGATTAATGTATTAGCTTGTTACCTGCAGAAACATGGTGCCCCTGTATTAATTCTAAAAAGGCAGGAGGGGGACAGACTCCTCCCCCTCCCCCAACCCCCCCCCCCCCCACCCCCTGGGCATGCACGTAATACACTTGAGGATAGATTAGAAATATGAAATGAGTGCTATTTCACTGTATGCAACAAACACTAGCGTTGGGTGCGAATACATCACAATCATGCACTAACCAGATTATCAATTTGAGATTCGCATAGATGTAGTGATACCATATTTTAAACATTTTATTTTGTTTGTTTTTCTGCTTGCACATAAACGAACTTATTACAAAGGTTGGATTACCCTTTACTCTCTCATGTTCAGGATCCCGGATGTAAAATTCTTTGTGTAAAAGCTTTTCAATTCAGTACACATGTACCATTTAATTTGACGTTCCTATATTAGACATGTCTTTATGGATTAAAAAATGATTATTGATCATTATTAAATCTCAGTCAATTTACCCTTCAAAAAAAGAAAATTCTGAGAGGACAAGATGTTTTATTTGCAATGATTTTTTTTTTATTGATGACAATTAAATCTCAAAATTTGAAGACTGAAAGATGAGTTTCCAAAGGTCAAAGCTTATTTCAAAACTTTATTTGTTGTATTTTATAGCTGGTATTTTGACAACCGTTGAGACCCTATACTGGGCCATGGCTCTCCTAGCAACCTACCCAGAAATCCAGGCAAAGATCCGCGTCGAGATCGATGATGTCATCGGCCGTGATCGTCTTCCTACCATCAATGACCGCGGGAAGCTTCCCTACACGGAAGCAAGCCTCTATGAAGTGTTGCGGTACAGCAGTATTGTTCCGAACGCTCTTCCTCATGCTACTACCAGGGATACAGAGTTTGGTAATATTAATGAGAAAATTGTTTTTATCAATTAAAAGCCGTCTTAATTGGTGGATGGAGGGTTTTATGGGGCACACCTTTTGAAATCAAAGCTACTGCTATGTCAGACATGTTCTAGCATTTCCTGGAGAGGAAGATCGTTAGGCAGTATTGTGTAAAAAGCTATGATGCGCTACATGTACATGTATAAAGTACTTGCAATTGCTCGTAAGTATAGTTAAATGATCATCGTACGTGTATTCTTGATCTTCCTTGAGCTGTCTGTGATGTCACATGGCGGATAAGATAATTTTTTAAGGGTTTTTCACGGGGAAAGGCTCAGCAGGTTGCAGACAAATTGAGAAAATTTTTCCTCCACTATATACTATGGTACATACATGTATCTAGATCAAACAGTTGATGTTTTGTTGATGTATAGAACCAAACTCATCCACAAAGGTATTGAGATACATTTGTTTCAAATACCAATATTAGATGTGTGATGTATAAGTTATATGGATATGACTGCATCATCTTTTGCCAATTGATAAGTGTACTTCTTTCAACTGCACTCAGTGTTGCCTGCCATCCTTTCCACATGTCTATAAAAGGTCATGTTTTGTATTTTTTTAACATTATTACATTGTAAATGGAACCTGTATTACAGACCGCTAGTGTATGAAAACTACAAATCATGAAATTGTTTTTTACATTGATTGTTTCTGGCTCCTGTTGACTTTGCAGGTGGCTATCATATCCCAAAAGGAACCACAGTGATAATCAACACATACTCTATGCACTATGACCCTCAAGAATGGGACCAACCAGACAAGTTCCTTCCAGGTAAAAAAATGAATTCTACGATGTCTCCCCCAGGATATTTAATACTCAAGAGCTTGGTTTGGGAGGTGAGGGGTAGGAAATATACAGTTTTTTTCTGGTGGTTATTTCATCCTCTAAAGACCCACAGAGATGATCCAAAACTACTCCATGCACAGCCTCGCTCAACATGACTAAGAACTGGACGAAGTGCTCCTAGGCAGGGCTCCACACTAACTTTTAGGGTGAGGGGGTGTGTGAGCCCTGTGTAAAAATTGAACAATGTATGCGCCCATTTTTCCTGGGCGCCTGTTAGTGTTGAGCCTCATTCTTTTTTAATGTCTGAGAACATCTGATTAATAATCAATTCACTGTAGATTTTCAAAGACTATTGCTATAGTATATGACAACACGGGACAGGACAATATTTTGTTTGTAGAGTATTCACCTCTCGAGCATCTTTATGTAGTGCAATAAAACAAATCATTTCTTTTTCCTGCAGAGCACTTCATGGATGGCAGTGGCACTGTCCGTGATCATCCTCCAAGCTTCTTGCCCTTTGGAGCGGGTCGTCGTGGATGTCTAGGTGAAGCTGTGGCCAAGGCTGATCTCTTCCTTATCTTTACCTGGTTCATGCAGAACTACACCTTTAGCAAGGTCCCAGGAAAGGAGTCTGAAGAAATCTTGAAGATGATTCCTCAGACAGCATCTGGTAGACTCCTTCTCTCCTATGAGATCATGATCAACAAACGAGACTAGTAGGGTCCTGCATGGGCCAGTATTCAATTCAATACTACATCAGAAAGATTAATATTTTACTCAGCTATCGGCTTAGGTAAAATACTAGTCAACTTTGGTATTCAGTTGAAGCTTTGGGCTAATTATGTTACCCCTAGTTTAAAACAACTCACTCGCAGGCTAAAGCCAATTATTTGGAGGCTTTGATTGGCAGGCCATAATGGATGAGCAAATTATGTCACCAATACATATATACAATACATAAGTATTTTGGATATAATTGCCTGTTTAAGCTGCCCCAGATGGTATTGTGAGTCCTCTTTTATCAAATATTCAGTTAAATTGATTCAGGAAAGTGAATTCTTAATTATTTTTAAAAGTTAAAACACATCTTTGGTCAATGTAATGGATTTGGTTAAAAGGACTTTCTGTCCATTGCATTTAGATGGTCTTGACACCAAATCAATGACTAATTGATCATTTACGACCAGTAACAGTTATTAATGTTCCTTTATATAGTAATCATTGATTGAAAAATCCAAAACTGACGGTCTATATTTCAACATTACTGGTAATCAGTAAAAAAAAAAAAAAAAAAAAAAAGAAAAAAAAAAAAGAAGTCTTTTTCAGTGGATTGGTAGCTCTGGGATTGTTTTACTAGTAAATATTGAATGCAAAGGTGCAGTGATACAAGACTCTACAAGAAATGTAAGAATATAAGAAATGCCACACATGTGATTCCTTTAAAAAGTTGATGGATTATAAAGTCGATTGTGGCAGGGTTGTGTACCTTCCTACTTCTTGTGTTTAAAGTGTTGAAAGTTATGAAGAAATAATTTGTTGTTTGTTTACCCCTTGACTTTTACCAACATTCTGAATCACCTGTTTATCTAAATATTTGGTGTTGTTACGTGAATATAATTGAAGATTTCCTATGCATGCTATACAGGTGTAGCCCTATCATACAAGGTAGAGAGGAGATGTATTTTCCGTTGCTTGTCTTCAAGTCATTTAAAGTGGAACCATGTACAAATAAATGGGTAGGGAAGGCCAATTATTTACTTTACCTTTACCGCGAATACTGGAAGAATGCTGAGACAGTAGTCAAGCTTCCAGGTCTATCTTCTTGGTCTATCTTCTTGACAGTACTTATTTCAATATGTACTATATATACATTTGTGAGTCTGTAACTTGTGCATTAGATTAGAACTGTGGTCTGAATTGTGCTGATGTTGCTTCATTCGCATTAACTTCCCCCTTTTAGCGTTATTTTTTTCTAATTGTCAAAAAAGATTTCGAGTTTCTACAGAATTCAGAATGATGTACATATAATTGCATAATTCTTTATAATTGCTGCGATGTACAATATTAAATCATGTTTTGTATTGTGTAAAGATCAACAATATTTTACAGTAAATAATAATGATATATTTTGTAATATCAATTTCTAAAGAAATAATCAGACGGTGTTCATGGAATGTAGTAAAAATAAAAAACAATAATTAACATTGAAACCCATTGCATATTCTCAGAAGTGATGTTTTGTGTCTATGGCCATGACGCTATCAAACGACATTATAAAAAGGAGAATTAGCCATTCGTAGACAGTTGGTATCTAGAAACAGATGTGAACAAATCAGAGAGAAAAACAAATATAATTTTGAGAAGCTACAGAAATATGAGGAATGAAAAATCTAAGATCACTATCAATAAATTGAGAAATCTCCCATTGACGATTCAGTCATATTACCCTTAATCCCTTCCCCCTTTCTGTCTGTCCAAGGAGATTGGTCTGTCTTATTCTCTCTTTGCTTCAAAATTCCTAAAACCCTGACCGTCATTGCTTTAATTAAAAAAAAAAGCATGATGTATCGCGCACGCTGCGGTCTGACTGCCAACTGATCCCCCAACTGATCTGTATTTTACGTACAGATCAGTGGGATAAACCCTTCGTCAGAACGTTGTCGTAAGGCCATTTCAAACAAAAATTATGTTTTGCGTCCCCGCCCGCTTCATTTTTGAGGGCCGCCTGCATTTTTGTTTAAAATTTATTTATTATTTTGTTTAGTTTGAAACATGAAACATGAAAAACATACTGCTAAAATGATCTTTTCCTCCAAAAAAAAAAAATAGCCCGACTATCAAAGGAAATGTACCAAGGGCCATTTAAAAAAAGAAAGAAAAAAAGGGCCTCCTCCTTCCTAATTTTCAAAAAGGCAAGACGCCAAACATGTTTCTTTAATTTCATTTGGCCTAATACCTCGTTTTGGCGTTCTCACTTTCCTAAAAATTATGGACAAGGCCATTGCGATCTCCTTACTTTGATTTTTCGAAAGTAACATGAACAGCATAACACTTTTTTCCCTGTTAATTTTCCGTTTCCAGCGTTTCGTATAGTTTGCTCTCAATATTATATAATTTATAACTTTTGTCAGATGTCAAAATTATCTACCATAATCTTGGTTTGGTTTGGTTTGGTTTTATTTTCCGTATAAAAATTCAATACATACAAGAATACAATTTACAAATAATACAAATCAAGAATTAAAAAACGGCTGGAAAGCTCTATTCAGAGCCATTATTAAATTGGCTCTGTTCTTCCTAGAGGTCCAGAAATAATCAAACATAGAAATAAAACACATAATATTACAAAAATATAATATTACAAACGCACTATCTACAACCCCCTCCCAAACCCTCTATAACACATTATGATAAATTAAAGATGGGAATATTCAGAAAGGATTATTTACAAGAAGTTTAAAGAGGTCTTTAATTGTTTTCCTCCAAGAAAATGATATTACTACAGACAACCAATACCATTACTACTTTTATATACATATAAAAAATGATAATATAAATAGTACATTTATACTTCGATGTTTTATTGATACTTTTCAGTTCACAAAACATATTACATGGAAGGAAACCATAAATCTTTTACATAATTGATGCATATATAATTTAATATGAATCAATAACTTTGACACATCTGTTAATGAAGTATGATAAAGAGTTCATCATAAATAATTACAATGAAATCTAAAACTAATCAAAATTGTTTAAAGTGGTAGTATAATATTTCATTTTCTATGATGAAATGAGAACTTGCCTCGGAAAAAAATATATATATAACACTTAAAAAAGCTTAGGCCTACTGTTTGAGCATATTGCTCCGGTTGTCTCATTTTCGCCAGCCCAAACGTAGGCTAGGTCGCGTATATAGCAGACGGCAATCGGCGGATCAGACGACACTTGATAGTGATTTTGTATGTGAGATTGCTTTGCTAAATATAAAATACAAGAATCTTTTCCATATCTTTAAACTATCATTGATATCTGATAATTAAACAGTTATTGAAATAAACCTACCAAACTACATAATACAATGAAATACTTGACGTAAAGTAGGGGAGTTTTTTATCATGAGTCCTTGAAAAAATTAATAATACTGCTTGTCATAGTATTATTGAAGAGCAGCAAAGGCGAACGACTGTCAGAAATCGTTGCTTGGATTGCTTTCCCCTTAAAATTACCATGAGATATCAAGCTACATAGAACTATGATCGACAAAAGAGATATTGTCTTGAAAACAGTCAGAAACCTTAGATCTTGAATGAATAAAACATAATGCAAATGAATGAGACTAGAATGGATAGGACACAAGTTAATTTTACCATTTAAACCATCCAGTACCAAATACTTAAGCAAATTCGAGCCAGATGCTTATAATGGTGAGCTTATAAAGACAATGATTCATGACAAATTGTCATTGTCATGAGTTTATCCTCTAGACGTATTGCAAAAGATAATCAGGATAATAAGGATCAGAATGATACCTCTACTACTAGGCCTACTTTGACAAGTATTATAATACACTACTGCCATTGTTGGTTATCATGAAATTGCTTAACACAATAAAAATCCCATATGTTTTATACACGCGCGGCTACGGGCCTTCACTTCGTGAAAACAAAAATAAAAGCGTTCTGTGTAATTTGTGAGTTCACGAAATGACGGTTGTGTTAAAAGTTCAAACAAAGGAATACAAAAAGCAACAACAGAAAATGTATTGTATCTCGCAGTTCGAGTTATTTTATCTGCACATCAATTAAACATAACGTTTTGTCGTATTTAGTGTCCATTTCGGAAATTCCATCCACGACAGAAAAATCCCGTATGTTTTACGCGCGGGCTACGAGCCGTCACTTCGTGAAAACAAAATCACAGCGCGTCTTTGAATTTCGTGTTTTCACGAAGTGACGGTTATGTTTACAACTCATTCCCCAAAAAATATAAGAAATTATGGAAATATTTAAACATAAAACTAAACATTGAGATATGTTTCTATCCCAGGATATAACATTTATTTGCCCTCGGTACATTAAAGAGGTTGAGATTATGGTTTGAATGTTTAAAAGCGTTCTATTAAAAACTAACTTTCTTTTAATTGCGCGCTCATCCGTAACTTCGTGAAAATAGGGACAATATGAGTTGCACCAAATGAAAGAGGAGGATCTAATAAAGCTTTACAAATATGTGTCATTTATTAATCATGATTTTGATTAAGTTATGATAATACATCGATAATTCTCGGTTTCGTTTTTGTCTGGGACGCACTGTATAGGGTTAAGCCGCCCGCACCATCGCTGGGATGTAACTATGATGGCTTCTGTTTCACAACGGCTTGCCACGCCTTCCTATCTTCTGTCAGCCTAGTGGCTTTAGTCAGGGAATCAAGGTGTCTGACATGTTGCAGTTTGCCTTGATATACAGTCCGTCCATCCCTTAATTAGCTGGTCTTCCCCTTGGGTGTTTGTACATTTCCGTTCAGAAGGATGTGGGGTATCTTTTTTGATTCATTCTCTTAATATGTCCAAAGTATCTCAATCTTTTTGTGGCAACCCTGTCGATGATGGTTTCTTCCATGTTCAGTTGTGTTGGTATGGGTGTGTTTTTCATCCTGTCAAGTCTGGTCACACCCATGATTCTCCTGTAACATATGCCATCTCAAAAGCCGGTGTGAAGTCTATTTGCATCGACCTTTTTGAATGTTCATGTTTCTGCACCATGTAATAGAATCGACAAAACCAGGACTTTGTACAGTAATTCTAGTTGAGCAGCGTATATTATATCTTTTATAAGATGGGTAGAAGAATCCCTGCAATCTGATTAGTCAATTACCATGTAATTATTTTTACTGGATGCACGCGATATCGGCGATCGATACCACCGATATCCTTTTTTTTAATAATTGTAATTTTTTTTTTTTTTTTTTTTTTTAATGATTTTTTTGTGTGTTTTTTTTTATAATTATAATCTGTTTTAAAAAATAAAAAAAAATCTATAATTTGTTTAATTTTTTTTTTTTTAAAGTTTACACTGACAATTTTTTTTTTTTTTTTTTAATTTCATGATAAGTTAAAAACCATGCATCCGGTAAATCTGTAAAATAACAATTTTTTGTATTTTTGACAATTTTTGGGGTCCCATCTTATAAAACAGATGATGCACAGGTTTAATTTGTGGGTCGGTGGAATTGTGTGCACGCGGTACCTTTGAATTTGGTCTAAAACTCACTCGGCTGGGCCTCGTGGGTTCAGACCATTCAAAGGTACCTTGTGCACACAATCCCAACCGACGCACTCAAACCTGTGCATCATTTGTATATTAATTGCCTTCCCAAATTCGATGCTGTACTTCTTCCGAGCAGACTTCTTGTCTACCATATTGTTCCTCCAAGGTAAATGAACTTTTCTGCATGTTTGAGCTGTTCTCCTCCAATGTTTGAGTAGTTGAGGGTGTTTGCTTATTGCTTGTACTCCTGTTTTGGTAATGTTTATTTTTAGTCCAAAGATTGAGCTGTTCTGATTGGAGGTCTCTATCATTGTCAGCTATAAGGACAATTACGTCAGCAAATCTTAGGTTGTTGAGCAGCTGCCCCTGCACTCTTACGCCAATCATTACACATCTTTAATCAAGTTTCTGCCATTCTTCTAAGAGGAAACCAAAGGTAAAAACAAATGTTCTTCTTTTCCTCATTACTGGTTAAACTTGTACATACTTCGTCAGGGTATGTATAATAATGTTCATAATTTTTTTTACAGGTGCTGCTTTTGTGTACATGACTACTGCAATTTGCTTTGCTGTGATCTGTCATCTGAAATGTATAAAAAAAGTACTGGGTTAACATGATTCCAGCTAAATTTCTGAAAGATGGTGCGAAGGTTTTATATAAGCATTTAAGTTAATTAATGAACCTTTCTATCTTGACGAGTATTTTTCCAGAGGATCTGAAAATAAGCAACAGTGACTTCACTTTTTTAAATGAAAGATAAAACTGATGTTAGCAATTATAGATCTATTCGTGTTTTAAGCGTAGCTTTAAAAATTATAGAAAAATCGGTCTTTGTTCAATTTGAAAAATACTTCAAAGAAAATGATATAATTTATGAATTTCAATCTGGTTTTTGACACGACTATTCGACTGAAACATGTCTAATTCATTTGACTGATTGTTTGAGGACACAAACTTCCCACGGGCGCTTTGTTGGTTTGGTGCTCCTTGATCTGCAAATAGCTTTTGATACAGTTAATCATGGCGTCTCATTGAAAAAGTTACAAATAATGGGTTTTAACAAGGATTAGTTCAGATCTTACTTGTCTATGATCGACACAAGTAGTGGTCATTCATGATATTCGTTCCAAACTAATGTATATAACACGCGATCTTCCTCAGGTAAGCATTTTAGACCCAATTTGATTTACAAGTTATATCAATGATATGTGTATTTGTATAAAAGACTTTAAACTATTATTGTACGCAGTTGACAGCGTACTACTCTATTCCAATCCGAATCCAAAATATCTTGAGGATAAGTTCAGTGAACAGCTGTCTATGTGTTTCGATTGAATGACCGATAATAAGCTTTCTTTACATGCATTTGAGGAGAAACAGAAAGTATTTTGTTTTGTACTAAAAGCAGTTCTAAAAAGTCATTTAAATTCAAAGTGACACTCAATAATCAAGTAATTAAGAGAAAGTAATATGTGAAGTAGTTAGGCATTGAGTTTGCTAGCGCAATTTTATTTTCATCTAATTAGTAGAATCATTTGTAAAAAAAGAGCAAATTCTCGTCTGAAATATGTGCAGAGATATCAAAGTTGTACGGATTTAAACGCAAGACGTATACTCTGTTTTGCTCCTTTTTGATGTTTGTTTGAAAGATAAAGAAGAATAATATATGGAAATATACAGAAAAAATATATTTGAGATATTACATAGTAAAAAAAACGGCAAAATAAGAATGGAAAGAACGAGAGAGGAATATAGAGTGGGACGGAGGAAAGAGTAAAGATACAGGGATCGAGGGGGGGGGGTGTAGGCGTGAAGAAAATGGTCTAGGAACGTAGCTGTACTTTACTATTGTATTACGAGCTTTCGGTTTGTGAGGCCTTCTTCAGGTTCTGAAGTGCAAACACATACAAAAACAAATACATTGTATGAACAAATATACATGGCATACATGGCATACAAACTTAATATCCCTCTATCATAGACCATTTTCTTCACGCCTACATATTATGGAACACCCGTTGTTCTGTCAGAGTTTAGAATTCTCGCACTTTTATATATATATATATATATATATATATCCTGTATTACAAGGATGTAGAGAGAAGGGACGCGGATGGAGAGAAAGAAAGAAATATATGGGGAGGTTAGACAGGTTTATCTTTATAAAAAAAAAATAATAATAATAATTATACCGGATAATTATGTATACTTTCTATTTCACAACTTTAAACCATGTCAAATGTATTATATCATTGAATGTTGAATTGTATTTCTGATTTCTTGTCATAATTACTGTAATTTCTGTTGGAAATGAAAAATTAAACTGAAACTGAAACTGAAACTGAAACAGAGATTGGCAGAGGGAGATGGAGGAAGAGAGGAAAGAACAGTAGAGCGCATGGGCGTCAATCCTTACGTAATACCTATTGTTCAGGGGGATGAATGAATAGATCACCCCCCCCCCCCTGAACAATAGGTATCAATTACAGATTTACGCCCATGGTAGAGAGAGAGAGAGGAGAAATAGAGAAAGAGAGAGAGAGAGAGAAAGAGGTATCTAATTGCGTAGTGATCAGAAACTTCGCTTTCTTCTTCTTTTCCTTCTTCTCCTTCATCATCACCATAATCAATTATTTATCATTATTATGTATTATTATTATCATTATTACTTATTTTCAGATTACTATTTTTCATACTCCACATTCACATTCAATTATCATAAACATTAAACAATAATGAAAACTTATTCTTTCAATAGGTATTAAAAATACATCCAATTATATCAAGCTATGAAAGTAATCAAAGAGTCAAAATAACAAACGGAGACATACATAATCGCATGGTATTTAAACTAAAATTATATACAAAATCTGTCCAGTGGAATTTGAGGGAATCCAGCGCTCCGCCCCCCCCCCCCCCCCCCAGGATTCGTCGAATATTAATTTATAACGTGGCGTCCCATACTTGGGAAATGCTTTGACGTAATCAACTAATAAAGTCATATGTAAACAAACGATATGTCATCATTATTTATAAAGTACTCTCAAAGTTTTAGACACAGACACAGTATAAACACAGCACTGTTGTTATCAGACAGACAAAGACTTGTTATCGCCTAGTGACGTGTCCATTGTGACATTTTATAATACAGTATCACTAATCAAGTTCCGCCATTCTTCTAAGAGGAAACGACAGATAAAAACAAATTTCTTCTTCTTCTTCGTCCTTGCTGGTTAAACTTGTGCGTACGTCGTCATCGTGGGTATAAGAGACTTTTAGATTTGCGTGGACTGATACGTGTGACGTCCATTCAAGGCAGTGCATTAAAATGACGTCGACCGTAGCAATTCACATTGTCTTCGTGCAAATTCGTGCTAAAAGTCCCTAATCATGGACCTACTACGGATGGACATTCGACGTGATTCTTTCTTTGATCCAACGACATCCGCCGTCTTCTCATTATGTGCATCTTAATGAGAACATTCAGCTGTTTTAACAATAACGACTGCGTCATTGATAAAGGAGCAGTTTCCCTCTCTTGGGTTTTGTTTGAAGGGTGTGCTCTGTAAGAGTGTGTCTTAAATTTGAAAAAACATTACCAATGAGGAGCAGCAAAGTGGAAAAGCAGACGATTTTGGTGATATGAAATTTATTATTACTGATTCGCACCAATGACCTTAACAAACAATTAGAAGGCCATGATCTTTATGAGCTATGTGCGTTGTAATTATGGAATATTATGAGGAAATTGGGGAAAACGGGATTTTAAATCACAAACAATCCAAATATAACCTATCTGGTAATACCAACATGTTTTTCAAAAATAAAACATAGTACATGGAACAACAATTTCCGATTATTAACCACAGCTGCACATTGATTTCCAATGATTTAAGCGATTTATTATCTTCTGCGCATTCATATTAACATGTTTAAAATCACTATCTTGATTCTGTCCCGGCTTATGCTACGTTTACACTATGTTCCCGGCGGCCACGGCGGCCCCGTTTGCCCGAAACCTAGTGCGCCGTGAGATTTTGGCAATATTTTTCTCTGTGTTCAAGTTTTGTTAGGTCTTATCAAGTTTTCTCACGGTCGTTCACGGTATCCGTGACGGGCCGTGCGGGGAAACGGGCTGCTGAGTCCCGGAGGCTCCAAGGCGCACTACGGTTAGGCCCCGGTCTACCACGGATGTCAGTACGTTCCCTCGCGGCCCGTCACGTTCTGATGGGGTCCCTCACGTTCTGCCAAGGCTTTCTACGGATGAATCGTGGATGCCGGGCAGCTTTGGAGTACGGTTGTGCCCACGGTATAAAAAGAAGGCCTCCCAAACAATAACGTACAGCGTAGGATGCTGCTGGAGGAAGTCAATGATGAGCTCCTTCTCATCCTCCGTAAAGGTGGTGACGACCCTGGGGGCTGCCCTCCTCCTAGCTGGTGCGTCTTCCTCAGCCTCCCCAGCCTCAGGTTCAGGTTCCAGTTCAGGGACCGGGTCAGCAGCAGCAGCATGCTCTTCTTTATTTGGCAGGAGTGAACGGCGAGGATCTTCAGGCTGTTCCTCCTCCTCTACCACTGGTGGTGGTGGCGGTGGTGGTTCAGGACGGAGGGCCTTCGAACGTCTTGGCTTCTTCGGTGGCATAGTTTGGCCTTCTTTCTTCGTATTGTAGATGCAGTAATGTGTCGTCGATTGCTCAGACTCGAATGAAGCTGCTGTACGTCGCGCCCGTCTTACTACCTCCCGACCGTGTGCGCCGTGTCAGAACGCAACGCGCCGCGCCTGTAAACCGTCAGACGCCGGGATGCGCCGTGATTAAACACGACAAAACGGCTACCATATACCCTGGCCTGCCGTGAGAACCGGGGCAAACCTTGGCAAAACGTGGCTAGATGGGACAAAATGCGCAGCAACCGTGAAGCAACCGTGACAAAACGTGCACTAAACGTGGCAGAACGTAACAAAACTTGAAAAGACCGTAAGATGCCGGGGAATGTGCGGGCTTCCAGTCCCACTACCCCAGGTCGAAAATCCCATAGAAACCAGTAGAGAAAACCAGTACAGATTTCTAACGGTTTCTAGTGGTCAATTCTCTACTGGTTTCAATATGGAAAGTGGCGCTTTTTCCATTAGAAACCAGTAAAAAAAAATCGTACTGGAACCAGCAGAAGACCAGTAGAAGACCATTAGCAAAACCTAATGGCACCATTAGGAGACCAGTAGGAATCCCAACTGGAACCATTAGGAGACCAGTAGGAAACAAGTACAAATCCCCACTGGAACCAGTAGGGGACCAGTAGAAATCGATATAAAAACCATTAGAAGACCAGTAGAAAAGAAGTGCTGGAACCATTAGACAAGTAAAAAAGAAGTCATGGAACCATTAGGAGACCAGTAGGAATCCATACAGAAACCATTAGGATACCAGTAGAAAACCAGT